AATGAAAAGAAGCCCAGAAAATTTCTTCATTTTCAGAAACTGTGGAAATCTAGACTTGAATGGTTTTTTCTTGATATACTTGTTTCAGGGTCTGTACCACAGACTACTTCATTGTAGCAGAAATGCAAACGCCTGCTGAGGCAATAACTTGGATATTTAGGATTTCAGATATGTAATTTTTTAATAATCAGCATGATATATCGCGATAATCTGTAGTCTTGATGAAACCACATCTGATTTCTATAAATCACTTTAAATCTGATCTCACAAGTGACAGAGGGGGAGACTTCACCACACATATGCAACTATAGTGACATCAGACTTTGTTTTAGTTGTCACTAGTGTTGGGAATTGGTTAAAATCTCATAGTTGATGATTGGTTCATTACAACCGATCAATCATCGAAAATAATTGGTTAGCGTCATTTATGAAATTTGTTAATGCACATAAAAATAAGGAAAAAAACGTAGTTCTTTGGGGGCTTTTTGGCAAAATTTCACATCTTTAAAGGATGACTAGTATGTTAGAAACATAAATTTCTTGGAGCCTTTAAGATAAATTCAATCATGACTTGAAACAAGCCTTGTAGTGCTTACAAAATGTAACAGACAAAACCAACCATGTGAAAATATTGTTAATGAAAACAAGTGTTCCAGAATTGTTTGTGTTCGATTATGAGAAAACATGATCGATTGCTTGGTCGTTTAGTCACTACGACCAATCTTCGATTATTTCAATTAATCGGACCACCACTAGTTGTCACTGTATTCTTATCTGCATTCTATTAACTAGTTTAATTTCTAAAAATTGTTTAACCTTCACAACACATATCCAACAAGTGACACAGGGCTCAATTTAGTGCTTTGTTACATACACTGGTGCAACCCAATATTACAAAGTGCAACCAAGTTATTGGCCTAACTTGCACCAGGTGCAAGCCAATTTTTGAGTGGGTATACTTATGAATAAAACATCTAAATAATTGCACCTACATATTGCAATAAAAGCAGTGCAACTGGAATTGGCTGGTGCAACTCAAGGTTTTTATCTTAGGTTGCACCGTGCAAGTAGGTTACTCTAAAATCAGCCCTATGACATCAGAAGAGTGGTCCAGGCAACCTAGATTGAAGTCTACCTGTATTTTCACAAGACTCAGGCAAGCCCTCTTGTAATAATCTAACCTGTGATTACTACTTGATTAACTGGTTCTACATATCCGGTCAGTAAGCAGTAGTTAAAATTACCGTAACTATTTTTATGGCTGTTCCCAGCTTTTTGCCTTCTTGTTATTGCACTAACTGGACAAAAGATCCATGTATTTCCTCTGCTGTACATACCAGATACTGACCAGTATAAAATAACAGGACTGGTAAATTTGAGGACTGACGGTCACTGTGCCAGGCAGAAATTTCCATTGAAAATACATATACTGTGACTCAATGTAAATACTAAATCACTGTTTCAAAAGCAGGTGTGTCAAGTTTGTGTAAATTCAATTTCAGTGAAAATCCCAGTTCTAAAAATAGCACCCAGTCCAACCCACATGCCCCCACCCACGCCCAGATGTCTCAGTAAATGCGTTAAAATGTAATTATGTGTCATATGGTTAAAAAGAGAGAAAGAAATTGCCACAATATAATCATTGTTCCAAATTATGCTTTGTAACAACTCATTTATTAAGCCTTAAAGTATTAATTAACAAATTAACAATCTTGAAACTATAGCTGAAAAATATTCAGTCTCCATAGAAAATCCTAACCCTTTATGTCCCCCCTCCATCCTCCCATCAGTTCAGTACAAATTGTCGGTTCCTTAACTCTGCACAAAAACCCTAACTTCCTGGAACAGTCAACTTTGCCTTCATGCTGAGATTAAACAGGACACATGAAAAGTGTAATGGACAACATGGAGGGAATTTCAGTTTCTGAAATATAAAAGTCATTACACTTCCTTGTGACAAATTGTAATTATATCCTGCAAGGAAACCAAAGGAATCTCTTCAGGAAGAAATCAAGATGTGCTTAACATGTAGATTTAATTATTCATATATTTTGTATACAGGTGCCACACAAACCACAGACTGATGGCATCAGGTGAGCATTGATCTGGTTGTACAAAACAACGTCAGCCCTCAGACTGTCATAAGTCTATGTTGACATATGAGAGTTACGATCACCTCAGCCTTAAGACTGCCATAAGTCTATGTTGACGTATGAGAGTTACGATCACCTTAGTGCTAAGACTGTCATTAGTCTATTTTGACGTATGAGAGTTACGATCCCCTCAGCCCTAAGACTGTCGTAAGTCTATGTTGACGTATGAGAGTTACGATCACCTTAGCGCTAACACTATCGTTAGTCTATGTTGACGTATGAGAGTTATGAACACCTCAGCCCTAAGACTGTCGTAAGTCTATGTTGACGTATGAGAGTTACGATCACCTTAGCTCTAAGACTGTCGTTAGTCTATGTTGACGTATGAGAGTTACGATCATCTCAGCCCTAAGACTGTCGTAAGTCTATGTTGATGTATGAGAGTTACAATCACCTAAGCTCTAAGGTTGTTTTGTACAACGGCATCCTGAACTGCTAGCAAGGTCATCCATTGTATCCATCCAATTGTATCTGCCTTAAATGTCACTGGGGACCAATTCTAGCCCAGAATCTCCATGAGATGGGGTCACCCATTTTTGCGGCATCCAATCCACACTTAAATTTGCTCACGTGACAAGCACAGGTCACTAGGGCCTAATTCTGATCAGGGTTCATGATGAAATAGTCACTCATTTTAGAAAATATGACAGATAGAGGTCAGTCACAGCGATGGACCTTTTCCTGGCCCAGAATCTCCAGGAGAGGGGGTCACCCATTTTGCGACATCCTATCCATCTTTTAGTTTTTTTTATATGACAAGCACGGGTCACTGGGGACTTATTCTGATCTGGACACCTCATGAAACAGTCACCCATTTCGGATCATATGACCGACATAGGTCATAATAGACCTATCCCGACACAGAATCCCAAGGGAGACAGTCTAGACAAAACTTGGTGGGAATATCAAGCATGGCTTCACACATATAAATCCTTCCTCCCCCAACCACTGGGTACTGATACACAACAAAATAGTCGGTGACGTTGTGAAGGAGTGTACAGACTCGCTGTATGCAGAGGAAGATGGATGATATCACTGGATACAGGTGACTGCCTAGCTGGTATGTGATGCTGGTTACATCGAGATGGCATACACAACATCTCACCTTTCCAATGAAGATGGATCTGTCAAGGAAGGACTATTTAAGTCTGTTATTAGCTAAATATACTCCGAAGTAAATAACTTCTGGTTTAAAAAAAGCATTTAAAATGCTACTTTTAAACTTGGACCAAAACACATGATAATGTACTGACATACAAAATGAAGTGTTTACACACTATTTGGAATATACACAGATATTAGGAACCAAGGCCCTTTCACAAAGCGACTGTAACACTATGTCTACCATAACACTCATACAGTTACGACACTCACAGAGCCGTGATTGCTTTCTGAAATAAACCCTGTTATATAATATATTTATTTATAATCATGTATTGTAACAGCCAAATGAGTCATCCAAGCAAACCTGTGCATAAGCTAGAATCTAATTGACCTAAATCCATATGAGTAAATAGTATATATTTGCCTCATACATTTTTGTCATGTAGCGGCTAATTTCACTCATTTGTAAATGAATTCATTTAAATTGGGTGAAATCTAAAATACAAAAAACCTTCTCCAAACTCTCAAGTAAGACACAGCCCTCTCCTTTAACTAGGTCATCATTAAACCCACCTGGAAAAACACACCTGTACGTCCAGCTCTCATTAACACCTCCTCGCACCCCCAAACAAACTATTCCCCATCCAGACCAACAACATACAAACAAAATGCTAAACACCCACCTGTTTTGATCCTCCTTGTCCCATTTTGTTACACTTATTGAAGGAACCCTTCGCCTTGAGTCAAGCGACACTTCAGTGGAAACAGCGGCAGCTATAGCTTGACCCCTGGTCTACCCCAATGTCCCACTCCAGTTAGGGGAGATGGAATGCAAGTGTCTCATGTGTTGACTCACATAGATTATGGTGAATATCATGTATAACTCATTTCACACACAGAAGGCTTATGTCAGGCAAGTCCAGCGGCCGGTCAACTCAGGGTGGGGTGGTTGGCTGGAATGATGTGTCCAGTTACAGCTTTGGGTGTGGTATGGACTTATCTTCTAAGAAATGTAAGTAGTTTCGTTCTTTTACTCAAAAACACTCTCTCACAACAGCTGATCCACTTTTCTGGGGTACTGGCCTCATTCTTGAACTCTTTGAAAACAGTATTCCTCCGAACATCAGCTTAGAAAATAGGATGTAGTTTGTTCACTTCACAACACAAGCTTCAAATCCTTTCTTCTGTGGTCCAGATCTCATATTGAAAACAATTTTCAGAACTATTTCTCCAAATTTCAATGTACAATTGCAAAATCAAGGTCAGTTGTTCCGCTAACGCCACCACACTGAAACAATAGTACGAGTGTCCGCACTCGGTTTGTGAAGTCGGAAAAAGTTCAGGAACAATTTCCTGTTTTCAGCTAGTTAAGCCAGTTTAAACTCTGGCTAAAGTAGAAATATCCTTTTCACTGCCCCAATTTCTCATAATCACCTTGAATGTGGGATATTACGTGTGACAAAGTCACATCACAGTTCACCACACCGCAGTTTGAGCATAACCGAAAGGAAACACAGATGCATATTCATAGGAAGTCTAAAGGAAAACATACCTCAGTGTCATGATCACGCATCACATTCATATATCAGTAGTTCCATGGGAAAATCACCACAACTTATACAATCAGATTCGTCAATGAATAGTTCTAGCATTGACAGAAATTTTTCAGGGAACCATCTACTGTTATAGATACTGTACAAATTGTGACAAGTACAATTCTCAATGGACACCTTTGACAGAAATTTTCAGGGTACCATCCACTGTTGTAAGGACTGTACAAACTGTGACAAGTTCAATTCACAATGGACACGTTGTTATTACCAGGTGATAAATCTGCCTTGGCATTCTTTAACAGAGTTCTAAACGGTTCATTAACATCTCACCAGAGAAGACACAGAAGCAACAAGAACCACAATTACTGAGCCATAAATCAAGCATGGACTTTTCAGAAAATGAGTTCAGGATCATATTTCTATTAATGATTACACTCTGACGTGAGTTTAAACGAGGTCTGGCACAATTTTCCATGAATAACCTTCTTTATCTATATATAGATGACAAGGTAAAGACATGTATCAGCACACTAAGCTGATTAAAAGAGGCATGACAATTGTGGCAAACAGCTCCACGACAGTGTAGTTAAAGCCATATTGTCATGAACGACAACCTTGGTAAACTCTACATATAACAAACTCTCCAAACCAACACTAAAAATTGTCAAAATGAAATTATGACGAAGCTTTAGAACAGAAACTATACGAAGTATCCGTTTCCTCACGACATATCCACCCAAATATGAGACAATCCTCTGTTTGTTCGCTTGTGTCTACGGACTACATTTTGTCCACTTACGTCCAGGGACATACAGACAATCCCCTGTATGTTCGTGTGTGTCCAGATGAACGGGTCAGTCAAACTTCATCTGCAGCAACTCAAGACATGATCCAAGTGACTGGAGACCGTGATAAACAAACCTCGTTTCGGACACTGTCCACTACAGTAAGTTGACGAACAACTCACTTATATCATCGCTATTTACTTTCCTCAGTGTCAATTGTAAGACAAAGTCAGCACCTCTTGACACTTGCTTGAACAAACAATGTTAGTGTAGCGTGAGCAAAGAAACGGTTTTCATCCAACTGAAGTCCCTGTCTAAGCAGGTTGTGATAACGTGATGATATACTTCCAGTTTCCTGGGTCAGACAACTGGGTTAAGCTGTGCACACAACACAATCTGATAATCCCCTCCAAACACAACCAACTGATTCACACATATGCAATGGCAGTTCTAACTGCCATATTTGTTTGTGGGCAATTTTAATTGAAAAGAATCTTTGGTATTTCTTCCAGTGCAGAGCAGTGCATAAGATTTGGGAATAAGATCCAGCCTGAAGTTAAACCTCTGGAATGTGTAGCATGCCAAGCAATGTGAACGCTACCTGAACGCATCCGACCCGTCTCAGAATATGCAAGGTGAACATCAATCAAAGTTAATACATCTTACCTGTTTTGAATCACCTTGCCCCATGGTCCAATGCACAGTAAATCTCCAACCAAATCAGGTACAGTGTTACCTATACCCCGACAAAGGTAAGTTTAAACAAGCATTCCAAGGCCGAGTAGGGATATTTGAGGCTGAAGGCCCAGGTGTAATATCAACACAGCGTGGATCCCAGCCTTCAGCGTCACACTGATATTTGACAGTGACCAGTCGACCCACAAGTTGCCCCACCTTCGCAGGACGATTCAGTCATTTGTGCCAACATGACTTCAACAAACTATAGCACGGGTGCATCTCCACACACAATGGATGAAGGGTAGGCAAGATTTGAATAAGACACACTTGACTGACTCTGGACTAGCCTGGCAATGTGACAGATCCAACTTGAGTCCCTGTGCTGTTATAATGACAGGTTGCTTGTAGGGGTTATGAAGTCTTATCATGAATTTTAGTTCTCCTTTAACAGATAAAAGGGAGGACTTAATATCCCTGGCCAGACAATGGGACGAACCAGTGAAGACATGCTTCATAAGTCATGATCTCAGTAATAATGTGACACACTTCAGTGCACTCCAATATCCATGGGATTTCAATCCCGAGATGCGTTACTGCTACGTCTCAACTTGAGGGCAATTGTCATGGAACTTGGAGACATCAAGCTCAAAAGGTAGGAGACGAATTGACAGATGTAACTGTGTTACAATATATTTAATAAGGCTGTGCTGGTATTGTGATACAGGGTTTTACCTCGATTCACAGACTTCGGTGTCCCAGGGACCCCCAGTAATCAGTCTTAAGGATCCTTGCGGGCCATATGAGGATCTTATGAAGTAACAGTGTAGAGAGTGGCATTCTGGAAGTTGGTATAGAGATGACAGAACTTTATGGATGATCAACTTCTTTATTTTGAAATTGGTGACGTTTCAAGTATATGGGGGAATGATCATTGGTATAAGAATCTAGACCGAAACGTCACCTGAATTGTCAAAATAAAGAAGTTTAGATGTTTGTATGTTTTTGTTTTAATAATTTCTTTAGAGCCTGGACTGACTGACTGAGTTTGGTTTTAGTTTTAAATAATTTCTCACGGCGGGGACACCAGAAATTGGCTTCACACATTGTACCCATGTGGGGATTCGAACCTGGGTCTTCGGCGTGACGAGCGGACGCTTTAACCACTGGGCTACCCCACCGCCCCTTAGAGCCTGGAATGAATCATTGATCATGAGGACTGATGGATGAAATGATGCATGTAACTGCTCTGAATGAAACAAACACTTAACAAAGTCATAGATGTGTTGTGGGTACAATGAATAACACTGAGCTTCCCTTTTATTTTTTCTGCATCCATTCTCTATATTTGAGCGTACTGGATGCACATATGCATGTTAAGTAAAACCCTGGTGATATACAATCAATGACTATGCAGGGATAGGAACATACTTGTTTTGAAGTATGCCACAGGGCACTTAACATGATATTTAGCTGCAGGTTTGAATATAGCGCTAACTCAATAAATTTTACTGCACTTTCAGAACAGAGTGACCTCATTTACTATGAGCAAGACAAGGAGTTGTAATTTAGGTATCATCCTTCCATGTTTATTCCTTACATTCCTGAATACACCTGCATATCGGGAAAATCACATACCGTCAAGTTTACTTGAGTTAAAGTACATCATTAAGTTTACTTGATAGTACAGTGCTAAGTTACTTGAGTGAAAGTACATCATTAAGTTGACTTGAAAGTACAGTGCTAAGTTACTTAAGTGAAAGTACATCATTAAGTTTACTTGAAAGTACAGTGCTAAGTTACTTGAGTGAAAGTACATCATTAAGTTTACTTGAAAGTACAGTGCTAAGTTTACTTGAAAGTACAGTGCTAAGTTACTTGAGTGAAAGTACATCATTAAGTTTACTTGAAAGTACAGTGCTAAGTTACTTGAGTGAAAGTACATCATTAAGTTTACTTGAAAGTACAGTGCTAAGTTACTTAAGTGAAAGTACATCATTAAGTTTACTTGAAAGTACAGTGCTAAGTTACTTAAGTGAAAGTACATCATTAAGTTTACTTGATAGTACAGTGCTAAGTTACTTGAGTGAAAGTACATCATTAAGTTTACTTGATAGTACAGTGCTAAGTTACTTAAGTGAAAGTACATCATTAAGTTTACTTGAAAGTACAGTGCTAAGTTACTTAAGTGAAAGTACATCATTAAGTTTACTTGAAAGTACAGTGCTAAGTTACTTGAGTGAAAGTACATCATTAAGTTTACTTGAAAGTACAGTGCTAAGTTACTTAAGTGAAAGCACATCATTAAGTTAACTTGAAAGTACACTGCTAAGTTACTTGAGTGAAAGTACATCATTAAGTTTACTTGAAAGTACATTGCTAAGTTACTTGAGTGAAAGTACATCTCTAAGTTCACCTTAAAGTACATGGCAAAGTTTCAAACCCAGTAAAGTGGTACTTTGAAACCTGATGGCAGGGCATTTATACAGACTTATAATCTTCTTATTGAACATCCATTTGTAATTAATCTTGCGGTCTTCCTTCTTGTATCAAATTACATTCCACATAAATCACTTTGAAATACAGGATACCTGCATGACGTAAAAGAAAGACACCAAAATTAATGATCACATTGATACTACAGGAACAAATGTCATGTAATTCCCAAAATCATTTAATTCCCGACTGAATGTAATAATGTTTTAGTCCTTCCTTGTTCTTTGGTCAACGCAACTATAGGACATAATGTCTGGAGTCCGTTATTTGTCATTTTGATCTTACCAGAGACAGTGTACTTGGAGACAGAGTTCATGAGCCAATCATGATTAAGGCTGATATCGTATTTAGACATCTCAGGCAGTCCACAACTTTGAAAACCACTCTGCAGATAATGTTGTGTATACTCATCTATCAAGCTCAGCTCCTAATTCACTGTATATCATCGCAAACTAAAGTTGGAAAAAAGACAAATTCAAGAAAGCAGACAAAGTTTTGGATACAGAAAAGTTCAGAAATGATTTTCTTGCCAATCTCACCTCAAAATAAAATCCAAGCTGATTTTTTAAAATATAATATACAGGAGCATCAAAATAGAACCCCAATTCACAAACCAAACACATTTAAAACCAGGGTTTTACAGAGACGTTAAAAAATGGAAGCCATGGTGACTTTATTTTGGGGGAGTCATTTTAAATATTAGGGAGTCATGAAAATTTAACATTTCTTTGGGTAAATCAAAAAGCAAGAGTTCTGCAAAGATTTAATTGTTTTGTTTTGTATTGTCATTTCTATAATTAGTTAATAAATAGTAATATTTCCATTGTTAAATTCTGTCATAACAAACTCCAGTATACTGAACAAATAATTGCACTTGTGATTATTCACTGTAACGTACAGTTATTGACATGAACTGAAAGAAATATCTAATGACCTTTAGCATGAAAAAAGGAAGAAGATTATTTACTGACAACATTTGTGAACTTTGTGACAAGTTACCAATTGCAAAGGTGAGTCCCAACAAATCACTTCATTGGCATGATATTTGTGTTAATTATTCTCAGTATGTAACTGTGTATGTCACACCACCAAATGCAACTACAGCATAGTTCAAATCAAACAGCCAGGATTACTGTCTCCTCTGAGTTCTCTGGAACAATCTGACAGCTCTGTAAAACTCAAACTATTATCGAAAACTCTCATTGTATGCTTATCAAATTGATTTTATTGAACTGAATTCTGACGGTCACCCATAAAGCTTGCGTCTAGCTTGACTCGTATGATGATACTTTGAGAGTCTTTTACAAAATTGTTACGTCAAATAATCAGGAAACATGCTAGGGGTGGAAATAACCCATTGCCCGACGCCCGAGTCCAGTGTTTTTTTCTGTCGGGCTAGCAAATTTGTATGTCACGCTGTACCAGTGTCCAGTTGAATTTCCAATGTTAATTATGTTGTTTATTTAAAAAATCAACAAGAAAATCGGCCAGTATCGTGGAAAAATGATCAGGGCAAGTGATTTTACATGTGCCACTGTACCGGAGTACACTAGCAATTTTAAAGTTATTTCCACCCCTGCATGCGTCATGTAAAACCCTGTGAAACTGAATAAAGTGTGATCACAATCCATTTTATCATTTCCCTGTATACAGGAAGTCCAAATTTCTCGATTTCACCAATGATAAGACTGCGCTAGGCTAACATTTTAACAGCAAACACTGAACTGGTACTTTCAATTCTGAATAGGGAATACTGTCCCATTACCATAGTGATGAATCTATTAACTTCCAAAATGACAAAAGAGTCTGACTGCAAGGAAGGGATAACTGGAGACAATGGACGGAAATGACGGTTCTGATGTAACATGAGGTGGACAAAATAAATAATCATTTGGCCTTTCATTTCAGAAAGCAAAACCTGAACATCTCTGTGTGTGAGTGAGTGAGTGAGAGAGAGAAAGAGAAAAAAAATTGTATGAGTGCATGGTATGTGCATGCGTGTGTGTGTGCGTGCATTTGTGTGTGTGCGTGCGTGTACATAGTGTGTTCTACTTTTACCAGTATTGATTACCAGTTGACTTTTGCAATTTTGTACAAGGTGGGGCACTTAGATACCAATGCTACAGTTCAACATGAAAACCCACTCTGACACAAAATACCAACTCCAAACTGACAAGTCCTACAAATCACCTTGATGCTGAGAACAAGGCAGAGCAACAACAAGTACCATCTTGTAACATCTTCAGGTATGGTCAGGGACAGAACAGCTCACTGAGAAGACACTCTATCAAGAAGGTTACATAGGCAACAATGTGTGAAGCCCATTTCTGGAGTCCCCCCACCATGATATTGCTGGAATATTGCTAAAGCGGAGTAAAACTAAACTCACTGACTCCATCCTGAACAATATCAGGTTAAACGTAGAAACACTAATTCCTATCATCCTGTGTCCGTCCCAGACAGACAGTGCCTACTGTTACATCCCCTACCCTTCCTACTTAGTGACCTTGTTTGTAGGAAAGGTCACCAGTACAACTCGGACACCTACTGACTTAACAGTCACATCTGATATCCGAAACCCATTAAACCATTGTTCTTGCTTGCTATTTCCAGGTTTTGTCTGCGTCTGAGTGTGGTGTCCAAGTTGCAGAGCATTAAGGGCCGGTGATTGGTTCCGTGTGAGGTGAGACTGTAATTAGAGTCTGATGACAATCAGACCATCATTAGACTTACAAATACAGCTTATGTAGGAGCTGAATGAAGGCCATTATTGTGTCCAAGAGACCAAATGGATAGCAGCTTGTACAAGTGTCACTGTATGCCGACCACTTGGTTATTGAAACTTGATTAACAATTACAGAAACTTTAAAGATTTGAAATAATTTCCAACAGGGTTTAAGATTTCATATGGGTTCTTCTTGAATATTGACAGATCATATTCTGAAAGATTGTTTTATTGATATCCTTGACCAGCACTGGAGGGAGTGAGGCAGTGAGTCAATACGGATTAATGTTGCCTGGAACAGTACTTCAGGTGTCACTGCATATCATTTGGAAGCAGAAAGACCACAGTTGAGCTTGTCTTAGGTGTTTGTCACGTTGTGGAACTTGACGTACTGTACATGATATATGAACCGTTAAAAATACTGACTGCAACTAATCTGTTGAAAATATAAATCAAGACTCCCTGACTGACTGAGTTTGGTTTCACGCTGCTTTTAGCAATATTCCAGCAACATCACGGGCGGGGACACCAGAAATGGGCTTCACATGACCCATGTACCCATCTTGGTGGGGATTTCACCACTAGGCTACCCCACACCGCACTCCCTTAAGTTTTAGGGTCAAGAAATACTGACAAAGACCTTGAGTGAGTTTAGGTAAGTTTAACACAAATTTGAACAGGATATCAGTTAAATGAACTTTAGCCCATTATCTAGTGTGATACAGAAAAACCACAAACATATAAAATAAAGGGAGACTGTTAAACATACATTAATAAACCACCAAAACATCCACAAATTCCACTTTTGTTTATAGATCATCTCAATGACTGGCCATGGAAACCGGGTCTTCGTGACACACTTTAGCCACTAGGCTACCCATTCAGCTGTGAGTTTCTCATGTCCAGCAATTTACTAGCAATCAGTTTATAGTATCTGACAACAAAACACAAGCATGACTGGCAAATGACTGGAATGCGACCCAATTGACCCCACCACCACTCAAAGATAAGCAGAGTCATCAGGACTCTAAGGCTGAGTATGGTGCTGATAGACCAAGATTCAAACCCATCATCATAAGATTCAAGCACACCTAAGGGAAGTAACTCTGCATAGTGAATTGCACAGCCAACTGGGCCACATGTGACCAGCTCTAAACAAATTTCAATGGAGGTTGCATGCTTTCTCTCAAACATTCCGGCCACTGCAAGACTACACCAAGACTACACCACAGGTTAATTCGAAACCTGATTTACGAGGTCAAGCAGTCTGTGACATGCAACACTGACAGGCTGAGTAACTCTGGTGGCCAACCTGATCAAACATGCCAGCGCCTGTCTTATTTTAGCTGTTCCACCAGCATCTGACACAGACCACCAGGGTCTTACCTGATGCTAAGTCCTGTCCTATATGTATAAAGTAAGAGAATGGATGCTTGCTTATAACAGCATACTTACCACTGTGGTTCTTGTGGAGGCACAAAAGTATTGCTGTTATAATAATTTTATTTTACATATATTCAGGGAAATACTTCCCTGAAAACCTTTTACCCATTTGCTAAAACCTGTTTCAAAAAGGAAAACATTTAATCAATTACGCTTAAATTATTTTAAACAGGTTGATACTATTTGTGTTGAAAACTGTAAACAGGGTGTAAACAGTTTCTTCACAAGTGTGACAGTTGGTAGGACACTAAGGACACAGTAAAAAAGGAACTGGTTACTGTGCAAACTGTAACGCATCAAGATCTTAATAATAACAATCACAAAAAAGTATAAATACATGTATTACGAATATATATACAGGCATGAAAGTACATTTATGTATGCATCTTGTTTTTCAGTTGTAAAGTTGCATAAAATGATTCAGATATAAATAACTCAAATATTCAAGTACAGGCCTCCGGACATAAGTGACACTTATGTTGCCTTCTTGTTTACCCACAGAATCCTGCATATGCAGCCAATGACCCAAAGGCAACCAGACCTGCCCAATGGTGCCCTCATTGCATGACCTAATTGCACGGATATGTTCCAGTCGTGTTGACTGACCACAAACGCAGCATCATTCCACTGGATTAACGGTAATCTCATCTGAGGCACTCCCGCTTGTCAAAACTGACTTCCATTGTCAGACACACCCATATGTCAAAACAGTATTTTCCTGGAACCTATACTGTAGCAGAATTTACTCTGAGCAAGGATGCTTAGGACAGATTGTTTAACGCTGCAATATTTTGGCATATAAGTTAGTCTGTAAATACATAATCATGTCGAGATTTTACCTACATCTAATTCAAATGAATAATGGATATGACAAAAAACAGACACAAAAGAGTAAGACCAGACAATCCCGTGACTGACATGGTGGACACCAATCTATGAAACTGGGATACCATGAGATGTATCAAAATTGGTTTTGATGCCCAAAAGTAGGGGTGACTACTTGGGTCGTTTTCACAATTGTGATAGAATATAACTAACCTTTGGGTTTGAAATACACAATGCCATTAATAGAAAGTGGTCAAATGTAACATATGTTATATTTGGGATTACACTTTCTTTGTAAAGTACAGATCCAACTCAATCCAACAAAAGTACTAGAATCTGTACTTTACAAAGAAAGTGTAATCCCAAATATAACATATGTTACTTTGGGTTTGACATTGATATCAAGGTAACACAAAAGCAAAAAGTGTTGCTGACGTTGTCAAAGTAGGCCAATTTCCTCCCCTCAAGTAACTATCTGAAGTTAGCACAAGCCTTACAATTCACCACAGTCCAGGTTATCAATATGACAGCAAAACTTGAGATTTCTGAAGCACAGTTTATGTTTCGTATATTTGCAACTATTGAATCTATCAATTGCTATGCATACTATCGACAATACCACTGATGTTTTGAAATGCCTTTATTCAAGAAAAATTCAAGGGCAAATAACTGCAATAGATTGCCATTTTGATAAATTGTTTCCTTTCTACTACAACAGTAACCAGTCTTGTTATTTTAAGCTATAATTAAGAGTACGGTAAATATTGGAAGAATGTATAGCTTCATCGCAGATACACTAACCACACAACAGTCACTAACACACAACGTCTCTGAATAAGCTCAATCATGAACATTAAACAGTTTGAAAGGTCAAGATATCACTAAGCACATTAGGTAACAAACTGAATGACTTCAATAAACCTTGTGAAACATTATTAGCTGTGTACTGACAAATATGATCACTTGCGATACATACCGGATACATTATATTGGAATACAAGAATTCCACAAAGTACCATTCCAATCGTATATACTGGTAGAAATTACTGCAATAGCCTCCTAAGCACTGTTTGTCAAAATGTGGGTACAACTGGTTTCACTAGTGAGGAATGTCCATTTTCAAGACAGTTTGATGTTGATGTTAAATATAAACTTCTGATATTCAATTTTAGCGTACAAGCAAATGAAACCACACAAATGCAAGAAAGACATTTTTTTCTTCCTATTTGATCCTTATCACCCTATTCTGGTAAAGCTGGTAAAGCTGTCCCATACAATTCTATGGTTAGCATTAAACAAACATGTCAGATAGGTGTCTGCAAAATACATGTAGCTGTGAATTAATGTAGAAGAAATTTGAAAGTGAACGACATTGACACAACTTCTAAAATGCCAGTCAAACATACAGTGTATACAATGTACTTACGAGGGACCTCTCCCGTCACAATCCCTTCCCTGGACAAGAACTGTGAGACAAAGTATAATACAGAATGCAAGAACAGCAGCTTGCAACACTTGCTGTTCAAAAACATCAATAAGAAAATCATTACATCAGTCCATGATGCTGTCAAGTCATATTTTCAGTTAGTTTTGAAACTTGGGCAGTTTAATGCAGAAATACTGTACCGGAAAATACATACACTTTAAAGTTTACATAGCCTGGTCCTAAACATCGATCATATTTGTAGTCACTTAGCTTTGTTACAACAACCATACAAATGTCATACATGTGTTTGTGCAAAATTGATTTGATCTTAATTCTGTTTGGCTATTTATATCTCGGTCAAGTTGATACAGAGCTCTCAGAGAAGTGAAACTGATTTATAATGTCATGTATCTTTCGCACCTCATATTTCAACCTATTATATAGTGTACTGTAATAGATGTCTTCCTTGAACTTGTTTGTATACACAGATCAAGTGGCTGAGGTCGGTATGAAATGTATATCATATGTATTTTGATTGTCATACAGAGTTTGTGATCATAACAAATCAAGCCTTCAGTTAAAGCTACAGTGCTCCATGTTCTATTTGGACAAACTGAGGTTTGACTATCTATTCAAATGTTATAATTTATATTGGGGGGTTGATAGTTGTATTTGGGTATTAAATCATTTTTACTCCTTTGGATCTGTACTACTGGGATTTTTAACCAATGACTTCACTTATAACAAATTATATTCAAGGGCTGGCTATCAGTATAGATCATAGAGATTAATGATTAAAAACAAAATATTGATTGATTATCAATAAATATTGGAAAAGTAACCTTGAGCAAATATATCTTTAAAAAAGTAACAAATATTTCAACATATTTCATGTCCCTGATGAGCAGTGAAACTTTGATGCATGGATTACTACAAAAACAGTCTTCTTGATTTAGAAGTGACCAAGGAATAAAGATGAACTTTGTGTACTGTGTGAGTTAATGAAAGATATTATTGATGACAAAGTTTTCATATTGATAATCGTAAATTATTATTCTCATCAACGATATTTCCAGTTATCAATTTGTCTTAGCCAGCCCTAATATGCTCTCGTCAAAACAGCTGTTGTCAGCTTCATGTGCCTCAAGTAGGTCACACAGACATAATCAACATACATGTCACACGTACAAAAAGCAAGATGTTCTGAGTTATTGATCTCTCAAACAGAAGAGCTGTGTGCATGAAGCCCAGATTCAATCAGCATACATATATATAATGACTCCAAAAGACACACAGGTACTCAAGCTGAAAGGGTTACCATGAGTAATTATGTACAGTACTGCTATACTGTTGGGTTTATTGATTTTATTTTCATATTTGTATGCAAACTACTCAAAAACTAATTGGGGATGTAGATTTATATATTTTGTGCTTTTTATGGAAAAAACAATTATGTGATTTTGGTCAGATGTCTGCGATCAAACTTTTAGGAAGTTGTGCAAAGGCCTTGAAATTTGTAGCATTGATTAAACATCCTTGAGTGAGAGATGCACAAAACAATGAGTGAGTTTATTTTTATGCCGCTTTTAGCAATATTCCAGCGATATCACATCAGGGGCACAAAACAATGACATAATAACCACAGAGAGAACATACATCATAACACACAAAGATTTCCACTCCTTCACGGAACTGAGATTTATTGTGTAGTTTGAAGAGGCCCATGTGTCACCAGAGAGCTGTACTGGATTTTATGACATATATCAGCCTGTGTAAGGTCAAGGGCCATTCAGCTTGTACTATCTCTCTTGTACACCTTGCTATTGACACATGTTGTAAGGTTAAGAATAAATATTTCTGTCCGTCTGTCCTGGTCCCAAACCTCTCAGTGTGGTAACATGTCATGTAAACAGGGTCAAGCATGACGAGCAAGTGACGTCACAAATGTTATGTCGACATGTTATCCAAACAGACCATCCCACTGACGTGTATGGATGTTTACAATAAGGAAGCTGGTCATCAGATATTTTCCAACTGGTATAGACAATCTGTTACACAGTTTGTCATTAATCAATGTACAGATCATATCTGTCAGTCGACGCAAAGCTGCATTTTCCATTTAATGACATTTCTATTATTGTTTTGTGCGAAAGAGTTTTCACTTGCTGATCGTATCACCAACACTGTTACCTTCGGGTAGACTTTTACCATTTACCATCTGAAATTTCCACCAACACAAATTTCTAAACAAATAAGGCCATACACACAGATAGAATACTATTTCTTGATTGGCTGACAACAGATCGACTGGGGTTTGTTTTGTATTATCGCACTCAACAAAGTTGTTGATTTTATATTTCTTCAGCAGTTCTTTTGTGTATGATGTTGTGAGCACTTTGTTAGCATTATAGTTGACATTGTTATTTTTACAAACTGATTTCAACAATTTTTCTTAAGCTATTAACATAAAAATAGCACACACTTTGTGTAAATCTGTGACAAAGAAAATGAAATCACATCATAATCGAATAACTGGCACTGACTTTTAGAATATGGATTCTTTTATATTTATCACTTCCCTGAATTGTCCACATAACCCCTCTTTAAAGTGGGACAAACAACCATGAACCATTCATTTATCAGCAGTTGATCTGCATGGATGAAAAACATGAGGAGTGGCAGAGTTGTGTCCCCTTACTGAAAAAAATATGGTAGGCAAGAACTTTTCATCACATCATTTTTAAACATATCAGCCTGTCAAAAATGAGTTACGAGAAGATAGCATTTATTTAGTATACATGAAGGATGAACACACTATCAACATTTGGCAAGTTTGGCAAAAGATCAATGAAAACATTCTGGAATAATCTCTAACATAGGGAATTTATGAGGGTTTTTTATCTTAAGAATAGTTCAAGAAGGTATTAATATCTTTGCAGACAAAATATAAATGTCTTTCCAGATAATGTTGGTGTTGGTCCAAAATTGAGATCTAAAATTCAGAGATGGTAAGGAAGTAAAGGCTGTTTTTTGGTTTTTCTTGTAAATCTAGTTAAAAAATTGATGAAAAGATTACAAAATATTCTTAGCACCATTAACACTATTACAGATTCAAAAATTTCTTTTTAATTGGCTTAATTAACTTAACAGGTACATATTTTTGAGATAATCATGAAAGTTTCAATGTTAGGAATGGGATGTATTTTTCAAAATTTCAAAACTGCAATTGAATGTCAAATATTCCTGAATTAGAACAATCTTTAATCAAATATCTCGAAAGTAAATTCCCATAAATAAGAAAACAAAACTTGTAAATGATAATATCACAAATACACTGCATTACCAGGCTGGGAAAGTTTTCAGATATTTGATGATTGAGACTCAACATTATTATCTGCCAACAAATATATTGATCTGAACGAACAAAGATCTACGGAAAATGATTGATCACAGATTAGCTGATCGATTCCTTAGTAGCAACAAATATTCGATGAAATTAGCTGGAACAGAAGTAATCGGCTTCAATCAATCAATGCCTCATTGAACATGTGTTTTTAATATACCTGCTTATTCAATTACTAGTACCCACACATCTTTTTCCTACATTTCCAAGCATTACTATGGCAACAACTTTGTCAGCTGGTTTCACTTTAGCGCCAGAGATCTCTACACCCCAGTGCACCAGGAGTGGGTGGGTGCAAGGATAATACACAGTAATGTTGTAGTAATCAATGGCAGTACAATCAGTAATCAATATTCATCAGAACACATCACGAACAACGATTACGAGGCTAACAATAGCAGGTAAAGTGAAGATGATGTGATACATTGGACTGTAAATACACCGATGAGTTGATCAATTGATCTGTTATGTTGACACTATATCAATGACTCATTACTTAACAATTCATTACTGACGAGGATGAGTAAGCCGCTGACATTATAAACCTAACCCTGTCAGACTTCTTTGTCTCTAATCTAAAGTAATACCCAAATTCTGATCATTGAAATCTAAGTTTTTAAAGTCGTAAATAACAAGCTTATACATGTGTCAAAAAGTTCAGTTTCATTGTTAAATCTGACTTTTAAATCTTTTTCATTTCAGGGCAGAAGTGATTCCTTGTGAATAATTATTCAAGTTTCATGGACCCCGCTTTAAAACTGAAGCCAAGATGTGAACAGGCATATTTACAGCTGGTGTACATTAATTCAGCAGGAAGTGAGAATACAATCTCGGCTATCACTGACAGTTGAGACCCTGTCAGAACACCAAGCAATCTATGGCCAGCAAATATAAAGAGTCTATAGAACCAGAGCAGCAGCAATGACAGTGACCTGCTCCCTCCAGCCCCCCTCAGGCTCTGACCCTACCTGGGAAGATAACAATGCACTGGTTACATGCCGAGGATCACTCCAACCAGGGGAATACCACATGGTAAAATCAGACGGGCTCTGTCCATGTTTGTAAACATTCCCTCATAATGTTTCCTGGACCCATTATTGGCCAGTTTTGAGGGAAAATGGCTAAAAAGTGAGTAGGAATGTATCTGACTTACCTAAAGTGTGAAATAACACCTCAATCCTGAGTTAAAACAATTACAAACACTTCTAACTTCTTTATCACAGCTCTCTGTTAGCAAGGTCAAGGGCATTAACTAGGGGAGGTAACTCTTTGTACCCTACTCCCCCACATGTCAATAATGCTCCCCAGTCTCTATGGTGAAGATGATGTAAAAGCTCAAAAGGGGGGTAGCAATAAAACTGTCACCTGGGCAAGGGAGCTCATTAAACTGAATTTCAGTCTTATTTACAGAGTAATTAAAAAGAAATTAATCTTCTCTTCAATGAAAGTTATGGAGCCTGTTGGACTAGGTGATGTAGATTTAAATTACCAATTCAGTATCAGAAATAAATATTATGGGAAAACTATATTTCCAGCTTAATATTCTAATTATATTTATTTTTTCTTAGGTACAAATTTTCAAATCAACCAAACCCTTATTATATCCTTGATAATGTAAATACTTTCAAAGAAAAAGAAAATTTATTTTTAGAGTGACTTTTGACTTTTGACCCCAAACAACATTCAAAAGCTACATAGATAATGCAACTTGATCACAGTAACTTTTGTCTGAGGGCATGTCTACATAATCTCAAATCATCAGTGACACTTAAATTACAATGGATTTGTACACTTTGTCATTTCAGTGGCCCTTTGTGATTGGTATTGATCTCTCTGTGTTAATTACACAATATTACTTAGTTACAATGATGGTCAAACTGAAAAGGTCAACAAAATAAACATTCAAATGTCTCCAAGCTATCATAGTTACTGCACTTTGATTACAGTAACTTTTGTCTGTAATATTCTCAAATCATCAGTGTCCGACAAATATTTAAATTACAATAGTCCATTGATTGAAATTGATCTTTATGTCTGTAACATTCTCAAATCAGCAGTGTCTGACACATATTTAAATTGCAATAGTCCATTGAGATCAAAATTGATCTTTATGTGTTATTTTACACAGTAATTACTTAAATACAGGCACGGTCAAACTGCAAAGCTAAGTCAACATTAAAATTTAAAAAATCATGAAAAAGGAAAATACATATTGAGCCCCACTTCCAACAATACATGAACCAAATTTCTTTGGCAGCCATATTGAAAATCGTATGTGAAGATGTTGAACAAATTGTGACGTCATCAATGATTGGAACAAGCATGTGAAGTTACAATTTCATACGTAATGGGGATTCTGGACAGAAATTGTTTCATATGATGCATGGCACCCTGGACAAACAGCCCAGGACATAAGCTCACTTGACTAATCACACACTAATTACAAACATACGATGGTGAATTGATAACTTGACCCCCTCAGGTAAGAGATGATAGGTGCTAATGGACATGTTACAGAAACACACAGATCGAGGTCAGTGATGTACTGAAGCAGACAGATCGAGGTCAGTGAAGCAGGTACACCGTTAATCTGATGCAAGTGGAGCCTCCGCTGCTCGTTAGGGCTCTTGTTAAGGGTTCGCTGAAGCTGAAAATCTAAGCTAATTCAGTGTATCCTTTGACCAACCCATTTCAGATTTTCTTACAGTACCAGATAATTTGATCCAAAACATTTTTTGTGGCAGAATTAGTCAGGATGAGATGTTTCAGCTCCAGGAAAACCTTCAAAACTCAAAATTTAGACTAAAGCTTGGTCTCTGAAAACATGTAGATGGTGGAAACAAGCAGCTACACTTATACTGAAAAGGGGCCCCAGTGAGTTAGGGATGCCTACACCTGTGGAGAATCTAGACTTGCTACATTCAGAGTTAAACCAATACAGTATGGGCTCTACAGAGTGAGTAAGTTTTATGCCGCACCCAGCAATATTCCAGCTATATGGTGACGGTCTGTCAATAATCGAGTCTAATCCAGTGATCAACAGTATAAACATCGATCTACGCAATTGGGATACGATGACATCTGTCAACGACAAGTATGGGTTACTGAAGACCAATTCTATCCCGTACAGAAGGGAAAAGAATAATAATCAGGCACTCTGCGATGATAGACAACGCTTAGTCTCAGAATACATATATTATTGATAAAAAACAAACAATACATTTTAAATTGAAAAGGAGCCCCAGTGAGAAGGGAGATTCAGCCTTAAACTGAGCAAATCTAGACTTGCTTCATTTGGGGCTAGGGCACTCCTGAAGACCATGTGATATATGTCAAGTCAACCTAAGCTTGAGATAACAAAGGCCAGTTACTTTTTTACCAAAGTCAGTGTTCGCCACACAACTGTAGTGTCATGGGTATGACTGAATACAGAGAAGAGAGTCAAGTACAACTTCCAGTGTGTGTAGCCAGGTGTGGAGTGAGTGAGTGTTTTTTGTTCTCAGCTGTGATAACTTGTGACTCGTTTTCATGAGAGAAAAAAATGTTCCATACGGCAATTTAAACTATATTTCAGTGACATCAGGGTATATCAGGTTAAGGTGTGAGTGAAAATGATTCTAAGTGATCATAACTCCCACACCTGAACACAGTCTTACGACAGTCGTAGTACAAAAGGATGGTTCGTGAAACAACATCCCCAGTCTATTGGGTATGCAAGCTGTGACAGTTCACAAAGATCTGATGCCCTATAAATGTTCAAGTGTGGACCAGACAAAGCACTGGTGGACAATATGGTCCATGTTCCACACTGTCATGAACCTACCAAGTCACCACTGACCATCTGATCGACCTCAGTTAGGACATGGTACAGAGTGCTGACGACCCATTTACTCCAGTGGAGGTGACAGGACTGACTGACTGAGTTTAGTTTTACGCCGCTTTTAGCAATATTCCAGCAATATCACAGCAGGGGACACCAGAAATTGGCTTACACATTGTACACATGTGAGGAATCGAACCCGGGTCTTCGGCGTGACGAGCCAACGCTTAAACCACTAAGCTACCCCACCGCCCAAGTTCACAGGAAATGTTCCTGTCTAGACATGTAATTTAGTAATAAATCTGTCAGCAAATTAGAAATGCATGGTCAGCAGATATTCCAGAGTTCTTTACCCCGTGCCAAGTTCAACAAGGCAACATAATATAACTAAAAGAAATAACAAATCTGGAACCTAGCTAGTGTAACAGGAGCTATGTTTGCATCACAAAGATATTGCATTCCTTTTTATCTACAATCTGGACAAAACTGGATGTTGTCTAACAGAATGGAAGTGAGCATAGGTTTATGCTTCTTTTAACAGTATTCCAACCATATCATGGCAGGGGGCACCAAAGCTGGGTTTACACATGGTACCCATGTGGTGATGAATGAGCCGCCCCTAGTGTGTCTCCCCCCTAATGAACTGTGAAGGCATGGATTGTAAACAGGACAAATGGGTTCCCAATAACAATTTTGTGGACTTATTGAACATATACAACAATTGAGACACCAAATAATAAACAAACAAGTAGATGGCATTTAAATCTAAGATCATTAATCTTTAACATTAGGGCTATGACAGGGGCACCTTGTACTTTGATGGTTGATATTAAACAATGACTGCAGTCATACTAGAATGTAACGGAATCGCTATAATTATACATCCTCCAATAGTCATTACAGGAACATCTAGGAAAGTTTCTCAATATTCCAGCTATATGGTGGCGGTCTGTAAATAATCAAATCTGGACGAGACAATCCAGTGATCAACACCATGAGCATCAACCTATTGGGATACGATGACATGTGTCAACCAAGTCAGCGAGCCTGACCACCCAATCCCAATAGTCGCCTCTTACAACAAGCATGGGTTGCTGAAGACCAATTCTAATCTGGATCATCATGGGTCGCATCAAGGAAATGGCTCAGGTAGAATACTATGATGAGAGAGGTGAGGTGAGGTGAAATTGGGTTTAACGTCGTGCTTGAGAACATTTTGCTCATATGACGACGTGCATGCGTGTGTATGTGTATGTGCGCCTGCTTGTACTAGCCCAGACTGAAGCTGGTTTTATAGTGCTAGCCCACTGAGATACCATGCCGCAGTGAAGCATGAATACCCCACTCAGACACATTATACTGACTCCGAGCCGACCAGTCCTTGTTGTAATCATTAATGCCGAGCGCTAGGCAGGGACCAACAAGTACCATATTTTAACGTCTTTTGGTATGACGCGGTTGGGGATCGAACACGCGACCATCAGCTCTCCGCGGACGCTCTAACCACTACACCACAAAGGCGGTCATGATGAGAGAGAAAATAGCACTTTTCGCCCATGTTAATATATATATATAAAGGAATGTCTGCAAGGGAAATTGTAACCATGGATCTCCACTGACTGTTGAATACACAAACATGGCCAATGCTGCTATGTTTATCAGTAATCTGAAGGACAAGATTCCTAGACATGCCTCAAACATACCGCACAACCAACATACAATGTAACACCAAGCAATATTAATTTCACTTAAACAAGATTCCATCTCGCTGAATAGGATTTTAAGTTGTCACAAAACTGTACTCCAACTCCATGCTGAACAGAAGCTGGATGCTCTTTTATTGCATCTGATTTCATTGACAAAGTTTGAAATCCTCCAGAAACATTGTTACACTCTTACCAGAGGTCCTTCATTGGCTACAGTATTAATCATGAGCGTTTACAAGCCTGTGTCTAAAAACAGTTTTCACTGTTGCCATTTGGGTCATAATGACTTGTTTCAAATCATTTGTATGGGTGCGGTGAGGTGAAACAGAATTGAAGTCACTTTCATTTCACTTGTCAAGAAACTTGATGCATGGATGTTAGACTGACACTTAGTCTCTGAATATATAATTTTGACAGAAAGAAAGAACTCAACTTATAATGAGTGTGATTTGAAGCTGAACCTGAAGAGAATCTAAACTAGCTTCATTCCGTGAATGAAGGGAAAATAATGTTGTTCAGGGAGTGTGAGACAGACTAGCTTGTATGTACTTGTACTAGCCTGGACAAAGGCTGATTTGTTGCGAGGATAGCAACTTGTAACATATTCTTAAGCATTACACAGCAAGGAATCGAATCACTGACTTTCGTTTTTCAAGGCGCGATCTACCACACAACTGAGGTGGAAGGTCAAATAGGAACACTGTAACTTTCAACAATGTTTTGACTGATTTGATTGTTGGATCGTTGTTGAATGGTGTATCCCAGCTGTGTGACAGTGGCCAGTCAATAATCAAGTCTGGTACCACAATCTAATATAAATACATCAGCTCCATTAGTGTTGGGACACATGCAGAATCAAACCAAGGGGTTCAGCATGACAGGCTTGAACCACGTGTCTACCCAACCATCCGAGTGCTGCTGTAGATGTGATGTGAACTGAAGGAAGAACCTGAGAACTGACTCACCGCCTGAAGCATTTCTTCGGACGTGATGAGTCTGTTCCGTCTGTCGTCAAGATGCTGTTCCATGTCGCGGATCTTCTCCGCCTGAGCCTCAACCTGGTCTCCAAGCACGCTCACTTGCAGCGACAAACTCGCCTTGTCCGCCTCCAGTCGTCGCACGCGATCTTCCGCTGTCTCAGAAAGGTATCCATTCACCTGCAAAAATACAACAGTTTCAATGTGAAAAGTGAGTATGGTTTTACGCCGCTTTTAACGATATTCCAGCAATATCACGGCAGGGGACACCAGAAATGGGCTTCACACAATGTACCCATGTAAGGAATCGAACCCAGGTCTTCAGCGTGACAGGAAAACGCTTTAACCACTAGCCTATCCCACCGACCCAGATATAATCATAGACTTCATGCAGATCTAACACAGGGAACACGGTGATGACACAGTTGGGATTATGGTGCCACACACAACTGCACCACCTAAAGAGGGGATGTCTACATAGTTTTGTAACAGATGACAATGTTGTCTTTAATCTGAGATGTAGGATGTTGATGGATGATGAAGGAAGATTTAAGATATTCCAGGATGTTGTAGGGTGTTCTGTGTAACTGTGAGTAAGATGACTGACAAAAATATAACCCTTTATCTGTGATATAAGGTCATGAAAAATGTCTTATCATGAATTCTCTTGATTACTGATCCAGAAACTTGACTCCCGAACCAACCTACCATGCTTCCTGTTTCATGTGGCGTGTAATCGTTAAGTATGCACAAATGTGGATGAGTCATTATGAAATATTTATGAAATATTTACTGACTCAACTATTATTGAAAGGCTGCTTCAATCTACGTCATATTCACTTTCAGGATGCTTTTGTAAATCAAGGATGATACTTGACACGAAACCCACGTGGCAGTTCAAGTCAGGAAGATATATCGAAGGTCAGCATAAATTATTTATCTTTTCATTAGGCTTATACATGTCATCCTTTCAAGGCAAGCAAATGTTTCGGGTTGCCTTTCTCCGTAATAAATGACTGTGTGAAATAAATGAGCGTTCTGCAATCTGATTGGTTGAAGATTGATAATACAAATGGATCCCGGAAATATTCAGACTCCTAACCATGCTTGCATATGTTCCTTTAAAATCATGGCTTCTTGTCGGTGTGAAGGCATTCTAGAAAGTGGTAAGCAAATAAGAAAACATATTTATTGTTTATTTCTTTGTTTGTTTATGATTACTTGGTTGAAATCACATCAGCTAGATGAGTCCAATCGAAATGTCGCTAAATGCCATAAACAAGACGTTATCCATGAAGTTGTGTAATTGTTATTCATATGGTCATTATTCACATTTAATAAAATTGCCATTCAGCTTAATGATATCTATTCATTATCTGAACAATTTTGATTGAGTTGTGTGCAAAACTTGCGGTTTCAGTTTAATAATATATCATTGAGCATGACATCCTCCATCCTTCTACTGTGATGTCTGGGGCTGTGTTTCGGCAAATAAATTGTATTGCAATATATTGCGATTCAGGTACCCGTATTGCGATTCATACTGGGCACCAAAGTGTTTGACAGTGATTGACACTAACTGTACATGTCAATCATATTTTCTATATCATAAGTCCCTAAACATAGATGTTATGGTTCTGATAACATCAATCTCAAAATTAGTATTAATAGTCAGGGATTTTTTTGATACAATTTATAGTATCACAGTATGCCATTTGTCATTGAATAACGAAGAAAACATTTGTTGTGAATGAAAATCTGTTTAGATTTTAATTTAAACCATAAAGATTATCACAAAAACTTCATATATGTTCTTTACCCAATATAACAGTTCTCAGATAAAATGTTGCAATAAATATAATTTGAAAAATGTATTGCAATGGTACGGAAATGCCGTGCAGTTCTGACAATAAAATATTTAAGATTCAAAGCTACAGTCGTAGTGATGACGTGGTTATCTTACAACTGAGAGAGTTCACATAGAGAGTGTTACACAGAACATTTGTATTTTATAGTATTTAAATATACATTGTGCATTTTCAGCTTTGGATTGGGGTACAAAGTACCTGAATTAAGGGTGTACAAAATTAACAAAAATACTTTTTCGGAAAAAAGTAACACATAAATCTCTGAGTGAGATTAGAAAGGGGTAAGTATAGGCAGCTGAGCTGAGAACGGGATGACTGACTGACTGAGTTTGGTTTTACGCCTCTTTTAGCAGTATTCCAGCAACATCACGGCGGGGGACACCAGAAATGGGCTTCACACATTGTACCGGTACCCATATGGGGATTCGAACCCGGGTCTTCCGCGTGACGAGCCAACGCTTTAACCATTAGGCTACCCCACCGCCCCTGAGAACGGGATGAGTATAAGCTGACAATGAGTACAGGATAGGCTGCTGGAGCAGAGGATTGGAATTTAATGGGGTGATTGTTTTATTACAAATACATTTTCTGGGGTCAGTAAGCGAGACTAGATTTGGATAATTTCCAATTACTGGCACTTGCCCTCAATACATTCCACAACAAGGTAAGAATCCCATTAGACATCTCACAATGGAATAAGATCCTGTTACAACCATAAGTACAAATGATTTATGCTCCAGCAAAGTACCTAGCTCCAGACCACCAGCGCCGACTCAGTCTGCTGTCAGAAGCTTATCTAGCTAAGTAATATGACAAGATCAGGTCTCAGGAGAACGGAAGAAGAAGATGATGTGTAGCATGTCCTACACAAAACATATCTCCTTATCTGCCAGGATTCTAATGGCACCTATTTCATCATCAAAGGGTTTGGCACCGATGATTATCATGAAGTTAACTAGTGGTGGCAGCCCAAAATCAAATCTCTTGGCGACTAATTATTTTGAAATAATGATTCTCTCATCCATATTTGGTCTCTTGGCCTTGATGTTTATAATATGTCTGTACTTCTATCAGAGAAAAGTAGAACCAAGATTCTGTTGTTCGGCAGGTGCAATCTACTATAGCTATATGCAAGGTTCTCTGTATGGCTGGGTAATGTGATCAGTCACATGTCAGTGGGCAACGCTGCGACCAGTGTGATATTTTCGGCGAAGCCATGGAGTATGACTATACCACTAAAGATATTATCCTACAATAAACTAAGAAAATACTGGAATATAGTGTTTGTCAAGCTCATGCATATTTTCATTTTGTTGGAAAGGTTTATGCAAGAAACAAGACATATAAACATCGTGATATTCAGGAATTAGACACTGATTTATGAGATTAAAAAAAGCAAAGCCAATACAACCAGTGTGTGTATGATGTGTCTACTGTGCTAATGTCACAAACATTGTCAAAATGTGGTCTGGAAATTAGGGCTGCGCAATATAACCGGTTTACCGGTATTTACTGGTTCAGACATGAAAACGATACGTATTGCGATATGCTGATCAAAAACCGGTATTTTGGCATGCATTCGGAAAAATTCGTAACACTCGGAAATCTTCGGATATTTCCGTTTTTTAAATTGTTCTTTTCCCTATTTCATTAGTGCCAACTGTTACTTACATTTTTATTTTGTCATGATTAAAAGTTTTTATTAAAGGTTAATCAATCATAGTGATTTTGTTGTGTTTTTGCTTTATAATCAAGCATTAACTCGATTATAAATAGTTTTTGTTAAAAAAATAATTCTTGCAATATATTGCGATACTTATCGCAATATATGCTTCCGCATCGCAATATAGCAATATGAAAATTCTCTGTAATACCCACCCCTACTGGAAATCACCAGTAATTGTGTCAATTTTGAACAAGTCACTTGGATTATTTACAGTCAGATTCATACAATTACAGACAAATGAATGCATGCAATAAAATGAGCTACACAATACTATGCATCGGAACATATGAATCATTATTTCAGAAAATTGTAAGTCAACGTCACGCCAATACATATACCCGTCACTAGCATTGCTATCTCAGTTTCAAATGACATGTACCTTCAAATCATAGAACTGAATTGAAAGTATCACCAAACTTCCCACCATTGTTTCAGAGATATAAGATATTAGCCTGTTTTCTCAAATTATCAACAATGGCCAGATGAAACGCACGTGAGGGTGCTATAAATAGAAACATGAAATTGCAAATTAGTTGAATCACTGTGAGATTCTTAAATCTATCATTTTTCTGTGTATAATGGACAACAACATGGAAGTGCCGAGGAGTGGATTCTCAAGTGTACGAATGCCGATTCAAAAACATCACTGCCAGCATGTAACACCAGAAATAGAATGTCACCAAATCTTGTTACCATGCTAATCTCGTCACAAACGCTGCTAGGTCTATTTCTGGGATTTCACCTATTTAATTAATTCAATCAGAAACTTCATTAAATAAGTATAACCAGATTATGCATTAAATGTGTTAACAATGCAGTTTGGTTTCTATTCCCTGCAGAAATGTTTACTGATGGCATTTTATATCACAAATAGCATGAAAAAAGTCTTAATTATAAAAAGGAGAGATATTTTTCGGTATAGTTTTCTAAATGTAAGTAAAAAGTGGTTCATCAACAGACCATCTCCTTCCAAAGAATAAACATGGACACACAATAAACAAGAGTACACAATCAACCACAACAAAAACAAGGACACACATTCAATAAGGACACACATTAAAAAACAACACACAATAAACCCACCAAACAATCAAACTAAGACTCAAAAAGACTCAATGAAGAAAAACACACAATCAACCACAACACTAGAACACAATCAACCACAACACTAGAACACAATCAACTAGGACACACAATCAACCACAACACTAGAACACAATCAACAAGGACACACAATCAACCACAACACAAGAACACAATCAACTAGGACACATAATCAACCACAACACAATCAACAAGGACACATAGTCAACCACAAGACAATTAACAAGGACACATAATCAACTCCAAGACAATCAACAAGGACACATAATCAACCACAAGACAATCAACAAGGACACATAATCAACCACAAGACAATCAACAAGGACACATAATCAACCACAAGACAATCAACAAGGACACATAATCAACCACAAGACAATCAACAAGGACACATAATCAACCACAAGACAATCAACAAGGACACATAATCAACCACAAGACAATCAACAAGGACACATAATCAACCACAAGACAACAACAAG